CACACACACACACACACACACACACACACACACACACACAATCAATCAATTACAGTGACCAGGAGACTATGCAGGGGAAACGGGCATATTCTTTACTAGCTGCGCTGGCCGGCACGAGTGCAAATCGGTACAATGCTTATGAAGGGGGCCTTTTGGCAACACAGAGGAGAAGTCTTTAAAATGTCTATATGTGGATCTTGCAAGTCCACAGTTAAGGAGACCACCGGGATGCTAGCAAAGATTTGGCTTGACAAGGAAGGATTCACTCATCAAAGTACAGAGCACGCAATGTTGGTCTAAAACACAGGGAAAGAACTAGGCACCACCTGAATGTCCAACAATGCGGGAATGATTACAGAAATGTTAAGGTCCACGGATACACTGGAGCACTCTGCAGGCACTGGAGATGACGTTTCATAAGCCTGTTGAATAACATGGAATGAAGTTCAGTGGGTTGATTTTTGTTTGGTTTTAGTTGCTGAAAAAAGCAGGTTAAGAAACACCACATACATGAACCATTCTATAACAGGGTGTTAAAAGGGAAGGCGGGGTGGGAGTGAGCAAAAGGGAGAGAGGGAGAGAGAAGAGAGCCTGGAAAAGCAGCACACCAAAAAGGTAAAAATGGTTCTCTCTGGGTAGTAGGACCAGGGGAGCAATTACTCTCTTGTTTTTCCCTCATCTGATATCCTCCTCCTTTCTGATGTTTCTACCATGAAATTGTATCACCTGTGCAGTAAACAAAGAGAGAATGAAAATGCTTTTTAAACCAAACGACAGGGAGAAGAGGCAGCCTTTAACCTACAAATGGCACAGATGAGTAAGATTATTCACAAGGCCCTTGGTGGGGATGGGCCGGGGAGAGGAAGGGGAGGAGAGGAGAGGTAGAGGGAGAAAGTAGGAAGTGGGGAGAGAGAGGGGGAGAGAGACCTGCACTCCCAATACAATAAATACACTGCTGGTGGGTTGGCCGGGGAGGGGGGGGGCGGGGGGTTGTAAACCGGGTGTGAGCCAAGGTTTGGCTCTGCTGGCTGGCTAGCTCCTGGGATGTCTTCATCGCAAGGTGGCCTCCTCGTCGGTGTCTTCCTCGAAATCCTTGACGTCAGCACTAGTGGACTGCCTGGCCCAGGCTCCCCTTTCGGCCTCTCGTTCTTTATGCGACTTGAATCTCCCGACGAAAATTTTGCGGTAGTTCAGGAACATGCCATTCATCACATCGATGGCCCGCTCCGCGGATTCCTGCTTTTGGAAGTGCACGAACCCGTAGCCCTTGGGCCCCTTTTCGTCGCAGGCCACTTTGCAGGAGAGGATGTTGCCGAACGCCGAGAAGATGTTGTATAGCGCCTTGTTGTCGATGGTCTTGCCCAGGTTCTTGATGAAGACGTTGCCCACCCCGCTCTTTCGGAGCGACGGGTCCCTCTGGGACCACATGATGCGCACTGGCCTGCCCTTTATGACATCAAAGTTCAGGGTCTCCAGGGCCCGCTTGGCGTCCACCGGTTGCTGGTAGTTGACATACGCGTAGCCCAATGAGCGGCGGGTGATCTTGTCCCTGCAGATGCGGATGGAGAGGATGGGCCCAGCTGGACTGAACTTCTCGTACAGCATTGCCTCGGTCACTTCAGGGTGCAGGTCGCCCACGTACAGGGAGGCCATCGGAAAATCTGGGTTCCCTTCACAGCCCCCGCGGGTCTCAGCATCCGCATCTGCATCCGCGGCGGCCGCCACCTCCTCATTCGCGTCCGCATCTGCATCCGCATCCGCCTCCCCCAAGGGGGGCCCCGCAGCCTCCGCTGCGGCGGCGGCTTCGGCCGCGCTGCCCTCCGCCACCGCCACCACCGTTGCAGCCCGGGCGGCCTCCACCTCCTTCCCGGCCAGGGCGGCCTCCGCTGCTGCCTCCTCTACTGAGGCCTCAGCCTCCACCTCAGCCTCCACCTCTGCTTCCGCCTCCGCCACGGAGGCCTCCGCCACCGCCTCTGCCACGGTCGCCGCCGCAGCCTCCGCCGCCGCCGCAGCCGCTGCCGCCACCGCCGCCGCCACTGTCGCTGCTGTCGCCACGGTCTCCGCTGCCGCCGGGCCGCTGCCGCGACCTCCCTTCCCGCGAGCTGGGGGACGGAGAGGCGGGGAAAGGCAGGAGGGCCGGTGGGTGGGTGCCGGAACCCAGACCAGAGGCGCGAGCGGGAGCTGGCGCAGGGGATCCGAACTGGCCAGTTCAAGTCACCTGGGATAGCAAGCGCTACCGGGAGCGCGCCGGTGTGCGAGTCGCCGCAGCCTGCAGCCAGCTGCCGTTGCCGCCGCCGCTCGGTCGTGGGGTAGCGTGCGGGGTGCGGGGCGCGGGCGGGCGGGCGGGCGGCGTGTGGTGGGGGGCGGGGGGTGTTGGCGTCTGTGGTCCGGGCAGCTGGGAAGGCTTCTGTCTCTTTGGTTCCCCCTGTGGCTGCTGCGGGGCTGCGGGGCTGCGGGGCGGTGGGAGGGGACGGGGAAGGGGACTGTGGCGGAGGCGGGAGCGCAGCGCTCAGCCTCTCCGATCGCCTGGATATTTATGAAAAGGATGCCAGGGAAAGGGCTCCGCTGTAGACCGAATGGATAAGGGTTCGATTCGGAAGGGAGCCTTATTTTTATCCCCTCTCTCCACATAATGGAACGATTAAATGATTAAGTCAACTACCTTGCAAGAGAGGGTGCGGTGGCCCTGAGGATACACTCAAGGCCTCAGTACATGCAGTCTGGAAGTGGAGGAATCAGGAGCACCTTGTGTCTAGTACTGTCCTCAATGAGAAGGTGAAGAAAGCCAAACCCAGGGCTGGGAACAGGGCCTGGTTCAGAGCCAGGCAGTTGTTTATTCTTGACTCCGCTCTCAAGGCGCTCCCAACCTGGACCAACAAGTACATATTCAGGTTCAAAAGAAAACCAAAACAAAACCTGAGCTTTCTAGAATGAAGTGCCTGGTCCCAGTTCGCCAGCTAATATTTATGGAAAGCTTATCAGGTACTTGGCACTGGGGGCTAAGGGACAGGCAATGTGATAAGTGAGCAGTGAGTGTTGATGTGTTGGAGGTGTGGGGCAGGGTGAGAAGAGGTGAGCAGTGTGTGTGTAGTGAGAGCAGAAAGGCCACACGGGGCCAAATGCCGGAGGGATAGACAAGGGAGCAACCATGAGAGTTGAGTGTAACAGCAGCTACAGCCCCACTTCCTCCAAAAAGGAGGAGCAGCCACTAACTCTTCCTAGTAGCAATTAAATGAGGCTGCACCAAAGAGAGAACTCCCCGAGGTGGGCTCTGAAACATGAGGAGCAGTCCACCATGTCAACGCAGGAAGGAAGACATTCCAGGCAGAGGGATCAGTCTGTGCCCAAGGCCCTTTGGCATGAGAGCACATGCATGGTCGCTTCTGGCCATGCCTAATAATCTGGCAAGAACAGAGCTCATGGTCTCCAAGAACACATGGTAGCAGACAGGGCTGGAAGGTGTGGGGCCCTGAGAGTCAAGCTAAGGTGCTTCGACCGTATACCTACGGTCACGGGGACCACTCAGCATGTTCAAGGAGGGAAGCAGTATGATCAGAACTTTAGAATGAGTACAAATTAAACATCAGTGTGCATGTATAAGTGCACATTTGCATGTACATGCACATACAAAACCAAGACAGGGCTGGTGGAACAGAAAGAAGAAAATCAGATGTGACCAATTCTGACTTTCCAACTCTGAACGATCCTTCCCTGTATCCCTTTTCATCCCATAAACAGGGGTCTCACATTTACCGTGAGCCAGTGGGGCCAGATATTTAAAAAGAGAAAACCATAGTGCCTTTCCCCAGGATGCCTTCACTCTGCTGAAGCTTAGCCTGCCCCTACAGAAAACAGAAGTGTCAGCAGAGGAGTATAAGTGCTAGGTAATTGGACTATGGTGGCCGTTGAATTTCATCCGCCCAGCACACGTTCCCTCGTCCTCTCCTCCTCTGCCTTCTTTGGGTAAGTAATGCTGTTTTCTGTGGCTGCAGCGATGGCTGGATCTTGGCAGTCACACGACAGAACAACCGTGAACCTGAGGAAGTGACTGAGTCACTGTGGGGTGCGAGGCAGTGAGAACGCTTCATCGCTGGCTGAAAAGCATCCCAAGGTGGCTGAGAAGCAGATACACAGACATGTACCTCTCCAGCTTGCAAATCCAGCCCTCTGCCCCTAGGCAGGGCTAGTGCCAGCAAAGGCAAGGGACAGAGGGGACCTAGGAAAAGCCTGCAGTACAGCACATGCCTGACCGAGGTGATCACTGTCACGCTGTTAAGAGCCATCTCCTGGGGGTCTAGGTTGCTTTCGGGCAGGGAGCAGATGAAGCTGTGCCTCACCATTTCCAGGTTGGTGTCCGAGAGGGACCTGGGAAGGTAGAGGCCATGGGGGAAGCCATGCTAGCAGAGGGGTAGGGGATGTGGCGTGGATGAGAAGAGCTTCTCGGCCCATTGTTAGGAAACAGAAATGACAAAGAAGACCAAGTCGAGGACCAGGACTCAGCAAGATCTCTTTCTCTGGCGTTGGCTTCCAGCCCACAGAGCCAACAGAAATCAGTGAGACAGCAGCAGAAGGAAGTTGAGGGAAGCCATGCTATGGTCAGCAAATCCCCAAACCTGAAAACAATTGCTAGGATCCTGAACCTCTAGCAACAGGAACAGGCCTGCCAAAGTGACAAGGACGCAGCTGGGACCACTCCCCAAGTCCTTTCTCAGAGGCTTCCATGGAGTCGAGTTTCCACCTCTTTTTTAGTTTTTATTTTTATTTTTTTTAAGCTTCTTTGTGTTCAGTTTCTGCTACCTGCAAATGGAATGTGTTCTGACCACGACACGCTATCACAGAGGCAAAAATAGCCCCGTGGAGCCTCAGTGGAGGGAGGGGAAGTTTCCCTTCCTGTGGGAGGAAGTGCTGCTGATTTTATTTATTCAGTGATTCAAGGAGTGTTCCTGGAGGGTCTTCTGTCTACCAGGTATTCTGCCAGCCAGACCGTTCCTGAACTCAGGGAGCTTGTTTTCTAGTGGGGAAACAGACAATAGACAGATGAGGGAGTATGAAAACAGTTAAAGGTTGCTACGAATGCTCTCAGGGATATAAACCAGGTGACTTGGTACATATTGCCTAGAACCCCAGAAAAGTGGCAAAACAGGAGACATGAAGCCCAGGGAAGGCCTTTCTGAGGACAATGATAAGCCATCAGCCTTTCAAGGAATCAGGGGGGAAACCTGCCCAGCAGAGGGAACGGCAATTCCCCTGGCTCCATAGCGGAAAAGAGAGTGTGCTGGGAGGGGCAGGGCAGGCAGAAAGGATGCCAATATTGCTGGAGCCCATTGTGAGAGGGGATAGAGGAAAGAGAGGGAGGAAGCTGTGGTGGTGGGTGGTGCCATGATAAAGATGAAGCTCTCTGGTCCCTCTTCAGAGAGCTCAGGGGAGCCAGAGAAAGGATCAAAGCAGGGAAGTAGTGTAGTCTAATGCATATTCAGTGGTTTCTCTCTAGCTGCTCTATGTGGGCAATATCTCAAGTGGGCAGGGCACAGAGGAAAGCAGGGAGACCTGTTAGGAGGCTCTTGCAGTAGTCCAGTCCGGAGACAGCAGGGGCTTGGCCCAGACTGGAAGCATCAGTGTGGAGACTAATGCATGGATTCACATGATATTTGTGAAGTGGAAAGAGACAGCACTTGCGGGTGGATTAGAGGCAATCAGGGAACAAACTTAAGAAACGCATGATTACTACAAGAGTGTTTTCTCGCACGTCTTCATCAGAGGTCTATGTACGGTCATAGGAAAGACAGAGAGTAGGCGTGGTAGATTTGGAGACGGGAGAAAGACAGATGGGGGTGTGTAAGAGCTCCTATTTGCACATGTTTAGTTACCGAAGTTTACTTGTCATCCATAGGGGCTGGAGAAACAGAATTGTTGAGACAACAGGACACAGTTAGGATTTAAAGCCACAAAACTGGACAGGCTCACCTAGAGAGAGTATAGCCAGGAGAAGAAGGTGCAGGGCTACTCCCTGAGATACTCTGACATTTAGAAGTTGGGTTGAGGAGCACAAGCCAGCAAAAGAGATTCAGAAGGACTGGACAGTGAACAGGACTTCTCTCTAAGGCCTCGCATGTCCAAACAATGTCCAAACTTCTCACCAAGGCTTTTCACCACCAGCCTCAATGTCCTCACTCAGACTCTGCTCTCAATGCTCCTAGCCATACATGCACGGGAGTTGGCTTAAAATGGGACAACGACGACTTTGTGTGCGCGGGTCGGACTTCACTGTCTGATCATTTCTCAGTGGAGCTTTCAAAAGAGAGAGAGGTTCAGATGCAGAGAACTTCAAAGAGTGGGGTAGGCACTGCTCTGCTATTTCATGTGGCCCATCTCCTTCTTCCTTTCAGGAGGGGGAAATCAGAAGGAGCGGGGATGCAGTTCAGAGAGCAGAAGGGAAGAGAAGAAGGAAGAAGGAAGAGGACTGGAGCGAGGAGGGACGCCCATGGGAAGAGGGACAGATCAACTCTATACACAAAAGTAAATCAAAACACCCAAAACAGGGTTCTACGTAAAGAAGCCTCTTTCCATGAATTGCTTGATGCATAGCTGCAGGGAGGGTGTTTAGGGGCATAGAGAATGAAAACATAACTGTATTTTGGAGTAGGGAAATTGTTTCTGTCAATTCACACACCGTCCACACACAGCACCCCACCCCTGCCACTACCAAATTCCTCTAAATAAAAATAATTATGGGATACAGGCCAACAAAAAAGTCAGCCTTAGGCTCTTATTTAGGGAGAACTCGAAGGTGTTTGGATGTGCCCCTGTGGCTTAATAAATAATAACAATGATTGCTTAAGTTGTCCTGAGTCAATACAACAAATTTAGCAAACGGCCCTTTGGATCCTTATAAAGTGAAGAGTTGACAGAGACGGATTTGTGTATGGGGCAGGGATGGATTGGGTAGTCAGTCCTGTAGAAATGAGAACCCCAGGAGATGAGG